CTTGCTAAGGAGTCATCAATTACTCTCAATGAGTTTAAAGCACAACTTCTTGGTGCTGAAAAGGAAATTGAAGGAGAAATTAGTATGCTGTCTCAGAGTTTGTCAGCCTTGTATGTGAAAGGGACTGGTACTAATCCTGGATCTTCAATGGTCAATGGTTTTTCTTCTAATTTGCATAATCATAGTCATCATTGCTACTACCGGTGGTGTTTTGTCACAAGTTCCCTATATTGGTCCATCTCAATATCAACCTCCACAACAATTTCAACCTGATATGTAGTCCTCCCAGTTCTATTCCCCACTACAACCACCAGCTACCTTTTATCCTCCTGCACCATATGGTGTTGGTTTCTTTGGGAATTCTGGTTCCAATTAAGATACAAGAACTCAAAATTCAAATTTTGGCTTCAAATCATTCAATGGCTCTAACTCTAAGAGTCAAAACAACTACAGGTCCAATAATGGATACAAGGGAAGGAATTTCAATTCTGGAGGGTACAGGCAGAATTCAAATAACAATGGTTGGTCTGGAAACACAGATACAAGGATGAATGTAGTTATTGAATGCCAAATCTGCACCAAAAGAGATCATACAGCAACAAATTACTTTCACAGAAACACCAACAATTCTTCTAATGGTTTTGTGATCAATTGCCAAATTTGTGGGAAGATGGGTCATGCTGTTCTTGACTGTTATCAGAGAAGCAACTACACATGTATCGCCCCGCCCCGAATTAATTCTTTAATTCGAGAAATAATATTATTATTATTGATAGGCCCAACCTAAAAATCATGTTTAGTTGATTACCATTAGTTATTTATTTTCTACTATATTCAATTCACTAATCCTTACATTAAATTCAAAACCGACCTTTAAAAAAAATCCATAAGGTAAAAACTCAAATTATTTACTAAATTCATTTCTTTAGTACAAAAACACCACAAAGGATTTTTCTCAATTATTTAACTACCACCTATCGTAACCTTTAATTATATGTCTTGTTTACGACCCTGATTCATAATTAAAAATTTAAACACCAAACCTACAAATTTTATTCTCATTTTGTCACAATTTCCTTTTATAACACACTTCTCATTCTAAGAATTATTTCTCGAGTTATTTAAGGCTACATCTAACACTGTTAGACTGCCTACGTACCCTGGAGTGGGATCAAGCCTTTCGTAGTTTACATATCCACTTCCAAATCCATTAACTTCGACTTTTTAGTGACTAACTATCACAAAAGCGGTACAAATAATTGAATCACACTATATGTACATCAAATATAGACTCATAGTATCGAAAATAGTGTGAAAGAGGTAGAGACGGTCCACTGGCCACGCACCGCCGTGGGTGGCGGTCAGCAATCCCGACTCGCTGGAAAAATTCTCAAAAATTACATAAATGAAAGTCTCAAATAGTAGAGCAAACTTTTATACCTGCGGTCAAATCCAATTTTGTTTAGAAAGGCTCCAATTTGGACCAAACCCGCCGGAACCCTAGAAATGGGTATCCTTGATTCGACTCCAAACAAACTCCGACGCCTCAACCATTGCTTGGGCTTTGTTACTGGGGTTAAGAGGAGTCTATTGGTAGTGGTAATTTAATCAAATCATTTTAGATTTGGTGGAATTCAAGTAAGGAAGGTCGCGGCACCCTCGGGTGTGTTCTTCCTAATTGCAAGACCAAATTTCATGATTTTTGGGGTGTAATAGGGAGAGGGAAGGTGGTAGAGGGGTTTCCAAATGGTTGTTTGACACAATTCACCGGAAAAGGGGTGAAATCCCGTTAGAAACATGTATGGCGCTGAACCGGGTCGGGTCACCAAGGCCCGGGTCCCGATTTCCTGTGTCCCGTTCCTCTCTTTTCCCTCTCGGTTCTCTCTCCCCATTGGTCCTCCCCCCTGATTCTTTCCCCCTTCTCTCCTTTCTATGCTTTTCTTTCAATCCCAACCGTCCATTTTTTGTTTCTTCCTTTCATCTTAGCCACACATGTGGCATGTCACATGGCTCCAAATTTTCTGGAGCCTTCTAAAAATGTTTGAAAATTACCAATTTATCCCCGACTTTAAACGTTAATAACTTCTTCTTTCTAACCTCGTTTCACGAACGGTTTACGCCTACGCGTTCGTAAGATTGAGTTCTATTCAAATATATAAATTTTGACCTTGAAAGGTCTACATATTTTAAATAATTAATATCCAACTTTAAACCTCGTAAATAGTTTAATTTAGCACTAAAATTTTATGAATTAATATAAATTCCCAATTCTTTTCACATATTCATAATTATGAATGCCCAATTCATATATTTACATTTTTCAGGGTATTACAACACATATCAAAGCCAACCTCCTCCATCCTCAATAAATGCCATGAATGCACAACAATCATCACAATTCATGCCCACTGATTCATGGATAATGAATTCTGGTGCTTCTTACCACATGACAGCTGATGTCAATGGCTTGGCACAAGTTGCTCCATATGAAGGAAATGAGAAGATTACTATTGGTAATGGCTTAAGTATATCAATAAAAAAACATTGGTTCCACTACTTTTCATACAAAGGTCCACTCATTATTACTTACTTATGTTTTACATGTTCCAAAGATTGCTAGAAGTTTGTTGTCTGTTAAATAAATGAGTGCTGATAATAACAGTTGGTTTGTATGTGATAAGTCAAACTTCTTTTTACAGGACAAGAAGATAAAGGAGGTTCTATATCAAGGGAAGAGTAGGCCCACAGAGTTGTTTTAGATCCTAGTTTTCCACAGTGCTAAAGGTGTGCAGTCTACAGTTCCTACTACAACAACTTTACTTGGTCAATTGGTGAAGTCAAATGTGTGGCATCAAAGGTTGGGTCACCTTACAAATAAAGTACTGTCTTGTATGCTAAAACTATGTAGTAAACCATATAATACAAATAATAAGCATAGTGTTTGTACATCATGTATTCAAGGAAAAATGTCTAGATTGCCATTTCCAGAGAGAACTGAAAAATGTCTATCTCCATTTGATAAAGTTCATACTGATGTCTAGGGACCTTATCCTATAAAGTCTGTAGATGGCTACATGTATTATGTAATGTTTGTTGATGAATATACAAGATACACTTGGGTATTTCCAATGTGCAATAAATCTGATGTCTTCTCTATTTTTGTAAAGTTTTATCAGTTTGTGTTAAACCAGTTTGGAGTCTCTGTCAAGTGTTTACAAACTGATGGGGATGAGAGTACATTAGTAAGGCTTTTACAAAGTTCTTAAGTGATAACAGAATTACTCAGATGCTATCATGTCCATATACCCCTTAGCAAAATGGAATTGCTGAGAGGAAACACAGACATATAATTGAAACTTCAATTACATTACTCACTAATGCTGTTTACCATTGAAATTTTGCCTGTGCACACTCAATATTTCTTATCAATTGAATGCCATGCAAGTCTCTGTCTATGGTATCTCTTTATAATCTACTACACAAGAAACTTCCAGATTTAAAATCTTTGAAGACATTTGGAACTGTTGTGTTTCCTTGGCTTAGGCCTTACAATTCTAATAAGCTTCAAACAAGATCAGTGTTGTGTACTTTTCTTGGATACTCTCCAGGTTATAAAGGTGTCATATGTTATGACTTAGAGTCCAAGAAATGCATTATTTCTAGACATGTCATACATGATGAGATGATTTTTCCTGGTAAACAAAGATCACGAAATCGAGTCAATGAAGCAGATAGTAACCAGCATGTTGCACACTTCCCAATTTTAGTTCCTATACCTGTTACTTATATTTCTAGTAATCATGAAGTTACTCAGATATCTAGTAAGAATGGTGGAGCTACATCTTCTTTAGTGAGTCACATTAATAGGTTAGTTTTAAGTTTAGGGAATCTTCAAAGTCAAGATAATGTAATGTAGGGTACATCAGGCCATACTGTTTCCATAACAAATGATACAACTCCTTTGCTTCATGTCTTCAGTTCATAGCAACTTCAGGTGATACTTCCATTCTCCACCTTCATCTTCATTTGTTACAGAACATACAAAGATATCTGGTTCTGTGCATCACAATTATAGGATTCAAACAAGGTTACAAACAGGTGCAATTTCAAAAAAAAAATTATGCAGCCTATTTAGCAACTTTTCCTGAGATTACTTCCTTGGATATTTTGGATGATTTCTCGAGTGGTTTCTCATTCTTAGCTAATGTCATTGATAATGAGGAGGTTAATACTTTTAAAACTGCTAGTGTCAAGACAGAATGGCAAAGAGCCATGCAAGATGAGTTTGATGCCTTAAAAGCACAAGGAACTTGGTGTTTAGTTCCTCCTTCTGTTGATAGAAGCATCATTGGAAGCAAATAGTATACAAAATCAAGAATAACCCTGATGGATCAATTTCCAGGTATAAAGCAAGGCTAGTTGCACAAGGGTATAGCCAAGAGCAAGGCTTGGACTACTCTGAAATGTTTAGTTCTGCGGTTAGACACACCACTGTGAGAATGATTCTTGCTTTGGCGGTTCAATTTGGTTGGAATTTGAGGCAATTAGACATTAAAAATGCCTTCTTACATGGAGACTTTGAAGAGGAAGTTTATATGAAGCAGCCTCAGGGGTTCATTGATTCACAACATCCAAACTATGTCTACAAGTTGATCAAGTCACTTTATGGCATGAAACAAGCACCAAGAGCTTGGAATTCGAAGATCACTAATTACCTACCTACTTTGGGATTTGTTACATCATTATCAGATACATATCTATTTGTGAAGGAAGATCATGTGGATGTTATTATACTCCTATTATATGTTGATGGTATAATTGTGACTGGTTTTAATGCTTCAAATATTCAATTAGTGATTACAAGCCTTGCTGCAGTGTTTGATCTGAAAGATATGGGAAAACTCACCTATTTTCTTGGTCTCCATATCCAATATAATCAAGATGGATCTATATTCATCAATTAGTCTAAGTATGCACGGGATTTGTTGAAAAAGGCTGGTATGGAACATTGTAAACCTACATCTACACCTTCCAAACCTCATACTCAGTTGCTTGTGTCTGAAGGCATACCAATGATAGACCCTACTCTCTATAGAAGCTTGGTGGGTGCTTTACAGTACTTAACATTCTCTAGGCCTAATATAGCATACTCAGTGAATATGGTGTGTCAGTTCATGAACAATCCAACAGACTTGCACCTTCATTTGGTCAAGCGAATTCTGAGGTATTTACAAGGTACTATTACATGTGGTTTGAAGTACACAAAGGGTGAAGATATGTCAATCACAACCTATTCAGATTCAGACTGGGCATCAAACATCAATACTAGGAGGTCAATAACTGGATATGTGGTGTACTTAGGTTCTAATCCTGTTTCATGGCAATCCAAGAAGCAGTCAACTATCTCAAGAAGCTTGACAGAGGCAGAATATAAGGCAATAGCTCATTGTGCAGCTGATATTTTTTGGATCAGATCATTGCTAAGAGATATGCATCAATTTCTTCCCCCACCTTCTTATCTTCACTGTGACAACTTGTCAGCTCAAATCCTGATTATCACTTTGTAAGGGAGAAAGTACAAAAAGGTGATATGCGTGTTCAATATCTTCCCACAAAAGAGCAAGTTGCCGATGTTCTAACTAAAGGACTACATAGTCCTATATTTGTAAAGCATTGTCACAACTTGAGCTTGGGTTCACAATTTGCAAACTCTAGTACTGTAGTTCGAGGTTGGTCACTTGCAGAATAGCATTAAATAGTTGTGTTTTCAGTTCCAAACTCTGCTAGTAGTATCCTAGCACAGTTTGAGGGGGAGTATTAACCAATTGACACTTGTCGACTGTCTATTGGTTATAATTACCATCACTCGATTAGTTAATACTGTTAGAGAGTTAGTTACAAAGAGTATTACTGTAATAATCCATGTATTGTGGATACTATATAGCACATTGCAAAGACTTGTAATAATTCAGGGTGTGGAATATTAAGTGTTAGCACATTGCAAAGGCTTGTAATAATTCAGGGTGTGGAATATTAAGTGTTCTCAAATTCCTTCATCTCCTTTCCCGTAACTCAATTCCTCAGTGTTATGAATTCTTCCGGTCTGATTTGGTTTTATAAACCGAATGGACAAAAAAAAAAAAAAAAAAAAAATCAAAAGACGACAAAAACAACCAAACCAAACCAACCAGAGCAATTTATATTCAAAAATAAAATCCTAAACTGCTTTACACGATATGAGCAGAATTGGTTTATACCAAAACATAGATTAACTAATAACAATTTTTTCTTTGTAAAAAATTTAATTAAACTAGCCTAGTTGAAAATGAAACTCAAAAGGTAGATTCAATCAAGCTTGTTGATACTAAATCAATAACGTCCTACATCAGATATAAATTTTAAGGGACAAGAAAGAAAACATTAAGGAAGCTCAATTAATCACCTCAAGACATTTTAGGTAAGACACAGTGTACTTTCTTTTACAATTATAGCATTACACAATAGGGATCAATCTTATCCATGAAGAGAAGGTTTATAGTATCCCTTTCAGTCCAACATACGTAAAAAACACTCACAAGAAGTCCAGCACATAATTATCAATTTCCAAACAGAACTTTGAATCATGATCAAATTCCAAAACTCAAATGTTATGCGTAATGTAAAAATGGGAAACATCATGCGTATAGATATATGTGCGTAAAATAATTCAGACAACGGCATCTGTAACCTTTGTCTAGATAAGGGCCATTTTGGGATTGCCTCTGTAGGAAGAACTAATGCTCATAATGTTAAAAGAATCCAACCCAACTCATTAAAGATATCCTACACAAATCTAGAGAATTCTGGCACCAAAATCGGTCCATCATGCATGCATATTAATATGCTAGACAATTCTAGCATTATTATCTTATTCAGTCGATTAGGTTTGTTGCAATTACAAAAATCTAGAATCACCACAACTTGTGGCTAAGATGAAAAGAACCTAATTCAACCGACTTAGTAAGCCGGCTGTGCTTTTGTATAAGTAGGTGAGGTGCTAAGCAAAGCATGTAAGAAACCAAGTAATCAAGCAAGTAGGAAACCAAGAGAGAGCTACGTAAGAGAGTGAGTTGTAAGTGAGTAGTCTTGTGAAGAGTGTGAGTGGTCTCGAGTTTATCTCTAGAAGTGAGAGAGTGTCATAGCTTTTAAAGTGCGTTCTTGAGAGTGTGTTGTAATATTTCATGAGTGTAATACAAATAATTTGTTTACTTGTTTTGTCTTTCCAACACTTGTGTTAGAGTTGTGTACTCTAATTTTCTTCAACACATAAATGCTTTTTCTAGAAGACAAGTTCAAATGACCCAGAAGCACTACCAGGTTTTTCTGCCAAATGATGATGGTAGTGCTCGTAGTTTGCAGAAAGCACTTTTAGCCGTTCCATAAGCTTTCCCAGACTATAAATGTTAGTACTAACTCCTTTCCATAGCGCCACTGATTATTATCTGAATGAATTGTCACTGTATTGCTCTAGTCTCTAGCAACATAACATGAATCTGATAAGAAAACATAACCATACACAACAAATGCATATTCCTAATACAAGGCAGCAAAATCTACAAACCCAAAAGTTTACAATCGTTCAATCCTAATTAATACACAGCAGGAAAATATACAAAGACAAAACTTTGCAACCGTTCAAGTAATAACTAGGAAAAGCTTTAGAAACTCTAATAATCAGTACTAGCCCAAACCCTAAACCATAAACCACAATCCCTGTGGGGAATATAATAAATAAATAACTTGCATCCAATTAAATGTGCTATTACTTACTAGAAAATACAAATTCATTACCTTTACGCTAATTTCAATCAAATCCAATGCAATGCATCCACCGCACTCTGATCGAACAAAAATCGCTACGCCGAATCACCCCAGCCACAAACCCTACTGTCAATGTACAGAAAGAAATGCAAGAAAATACATAAATATCAAAAACCATCACCAAACTAGAGGAAATACTTTTAGTATATACGCATTACAGGAATACAGTCACCGCACAAACATGCATCTTTAGATACACATTACGCCATAAATAACTAGAGGTATGTATGTGTGTGCGTGTATATATCTAAGTGTGTACATATATGTGCGTGTGTGTGTGTGTGTGTATATATATGTGTGTGTGTGTGTTTATCGTCTTCACCTGAGCGTGAAAAGGAAGCCATGGAAAACCCATCGGCGGTTCTGAATTCTTCGATAACAGAAAACCAAGTGTGATTAGCAAGAAGCTTCGGATTAAGGAGAGGAGATAAAAATCTGGTTCAACTGTTATGACCCTGATTTTAACCTTGAGGACAAGGTTGTTCTTAAGGGTTAGGCAATGTTATGACTCTGATTAGCTTAATCATAATTAGTCATTGAATTAGTTAGTTAAATGAGATTATTATAGATAATTAGGAAAGTTGGTTAGATTCTGCTAGCTGGCAGTTGGGTTCTGAGTATTATAAATGGTCCAATGTGTAATGGTTTTGCCCAGTGGTTAATTTGATAAAAAGAAATATAACAACAAAAAAAAAAACAATTCAAGAGCTCTGCTCTCTCTCTCTCTATCATGTGTGTTACTTGCAGGTTGATTAAGGGAATTGAGAAATGGATCGTATGAATGGTATCATTCTACTCAAATCCTAGTTTCCAGCCTTGCACGCCTACCTGATTAGTCTTCCTGCCATGAATGCGCACGTTTCAGCCGCATTAAACTCCCTCGAAGCTTCGATGCATGTTGCGTTCTGTGAAGCTTTGGCACCCATCCGCCATGAACTTTCTCTATTACGCTATGATTTGGCTCTCTTAGCTGCGGAGGTTTCTGATCCAGCCCCGATGTTGTTGCGAGTTATATATTAGTTAGAGTGTAAATAGTAATTTATTGTCCCATATTGGTGAAGTACATATGTAATACCAATTGTAACTTCTATATATATTCCACTTTGGAGATTAATGAATATATAAGAAATTCCCAAATATTGTCATATATATTTTTGGTATTTACCATGTTTAGTTTAATATTGATATTTACCATGTTTAGTTCAATATGGCATCAGAGCAGTTCACTCTTGGTAACCTGTGTGTTTTAATTTGTACCCATATTTTTCGTGATTTCCTTCGTAAAAAAAAATTTTATTAAAAAAAAAAAAAAGTGAATAGTGGCGCTACAGTACAGTGCATGAACAGTGGTCCTCTACAGTGCCGTAAAACAGTGATTGCTACAGTGCCGTGAATAGTCTGCTACAGTATCTGGTAAATTGTTTTCATTCTGCTGCGTATCTTTTGTGCCTTTATTGTTTGTGATTTTTGGTCAATGGCTCAATATAATCATAGTATTATTATGCATCTTGGTGGAACAAATAAATGGATAATAGATATTGGGGCCACTGATCATGTGACTAGTGACCTTAGAGTGTTTGATGAGTTATGTGACTATGTTCGTGATCTGTATGTTACTAGTGCAAATGGAGCACATTCCCCTGTAAAGGGTGAAGGCATTATCTCTCTGACTCCAACCTTATCATTGGTCCGTGCTTTACTTGTTTCTGATCTTAAGTGCAATCTTTTGTCAGTAGGAAAACTTCTTGATACCGTATATTGTTCTACTCACTTCTACCCTATGTATTGTTATTTTCAAGATATTCAAACTCAGAAGATAATTGGTCATGGTAAAAGAATAGGAGGTTTGTACATCTTGACTATGGAGGATACTGTTGTTTCTGGTTCAAATAATCATCAAGTTTTAAGTGCTAAAGTGGATGACAGACATCAAATTTGGTTGTGGCATCGATGATTGGGATATCCATCATTCAATTATATAAAACATCTATTTCCTTCTTTGTTTCGCACTTGTAGTGATTCAGAGTTCAAGTGTGAAACATGTGTCATGGCTAAGAGTCATCGTGCTTCATTTCCTGTAAGTGATTCTAAAGCTACTTTGCCATTTGATTTGATACATTCTGATGTGTGGGGTCCAGCAAAGTTACTTCTAATGGATTCCGTTGGTTTGTTACTTTTATTGATGATTGTACTCGGTTAACTTGGGTGTTCTTGATGAAAAATAAGAGTGATGTTCCGTTACTTCTTCAAGAATTTTGTACAATGGTGTTTACTCAGTTTCAGACCAAAGTTAAGGTCTTTAGGTCTGATAACGGGGGAGAATATGTGAATCACACTTTGGCATGTTTTTTTCGTGATCATGGTATTATTCACCAAACGACTACTCCGTTTACACCCCAACAAAATGGTGTGTCTGAACGGAAGAATCGTCAAATAATGGAAGTTGCTCGCTCCCTGATGTTGGATAAATGTGTTCCTAATCATTTGTGGGGTCATGCTGTTTTGGCTGCTATGTATTTGATCAATCATGTTCCAAGTAGGGTTCTTGATTTTCAGACACCGTTCGATGTGCTACAACAACATGTTTCTCTTGTTTCTGTATCAAAGTTTCCTCCGAAAGTGTTTGGGTGTATTGTGTATGTGCATGTCTACTCTCATCAGCGGAGTAAACTTGATGCATGTACTCTCCGGTGTGTCTTTATTGGGT